GACTATTCTTTGTGGTAGTAGAGTAGATAACATTTACTCCCTCCGTCCCCCTAAGATCTTCTCGTTTTGATTTTTTGCGGTTTTTAAGGAGAGTTGAAAAAAGGTGAAAGTTTACCAAAATACCCTTAATGAAAATGGGTGGGGTGTATTAAATAAGGTGGAAAAGGTGTAATAAATAAAGTAAGTGGGGGTAGTTGTGGTATTTTAAATGTTAAAAAAGGTAATGAGAAGATCTATGTGGGACAAATAAAAAGGGTTAATGGGAAGATCTATGGGGGACGGAGGGAGTACATCTTTGATCTTGAAAATTCCCCGTCTACTTTAGCTAAGTGTCTCATTACCAAAGAGGAAGAAACGTGGCTATGGCATCGTCGGATAGCTCACGTTAACATGGACCATCTTAATAAGTTGGTTTCAAAAGACTTAGTAATTGGTGTTCCTAAACTTAAGTTTGAGAAGAATCTAATTTGTGATGCATGTCAAAAGGGGAAGCAAGTAAGGGCCTCGTTTAAGTCAAAGAACGTTGTTTCTACGACTAGGCCATTACAACTTTTGCACATGGACCTTTTTGGACCTTCAAGAACTATGAGTTTAGGAGGTAATTACTTTGGCTTTGTTATCGTTGATGACTATTCGAGATTTACATGGACACTCTTTCTTGCTCATAAGTATGACGCACTTAATGCCTTTAAGAAATTCATTAAATTGGTTCAAAATGAAAAAGATTGTCACATTTCATCCATAAGAAGTGATCATGGGAGAGAATTCGATCAAGATGTTTGCCAGCCCTGTCCCCATTTGTTTGCCAAACACAACACCCCATTTTGCCCAAATAATAGCCACAACAACCCCAAGAAACAACCACTACAAACCCACAACTCAAAACCCCACAACCCCAACCCATTTCTGATTTTATTCCACGTAGGAGACAGGATTCAATGAGTGTTACCCCATGCTTTGGAGGAGGATGTTGCTAGGAAGTTTCCTTATGTCTACATTCAATGTATTGTGTATTTCTTCCCCCTTCCCCCTGCCTATATAATCAGGCCCTATGGCCATTGTAAACATCATCTCTGAATATTGAAAAACCTTTTACTCTTTGAGTATTCATAAAATAGTGTGATGCTATTTTAGCCAAATTCGTAATTCTATATCTTAAGAGTGGTTATCTTAAGTGTGAGTTTTAGGTTCTAGATATTTGATTAAGTGTGTCATATCTTAATTAAATTCTAGATTCAAACCCCAAGTTAAGATAAGGGTGTGTAATATCTCTTAACACCAACTTGGTTTTATCCATCATTATTTTCTATCCATTTCTTTTCCCACCATTTCTATCCTTAATCCCCTTTTCTTTCCTCAAATTAAAAATACCAAAAGAACTCCTTCATCATCTCCACAAATCCCAGCCATTCCCACACAAGCACCACTATTACCCGCCCAGGTTTCCTGATCCTGATTGCCTTGATAATCGATTATCAATTAAGATAATCGACTATCTCACCCTTCAGGACTTTCTTGGCGTCTGCTGCAAAGTCCAATAATCGATTATCAACATTTGATAGTCGATTGTTGTCCCCTGCTGAATTCCGTTGGAATAAACTGCGAGCTCCTATAATCGATTATCATATACTGATAATCGACTATCTGCTTACTCTCAAGTTTTTGGGTTTCAGCCACACAAATTCACAATCGATTATCACCTAGCCATAATCGATTATCTCTTGCTTCAAAACCCTGAACTCAAAGCTGAATCATTCCTTGATTCCTCCTCAAAATAACAACTCGTTTAGACCCCCAGTTTAGATATAACATTTAGTACCATAGCTCTTTGTTCCTACATCCCAAAGGACAAGGAACACACTTCCACTCTTTCTCCTTCCTTCATACTAGCCACTGCCCTACCTTCGTTCTTTCACTTCCTAGTTCAAAACATGTCTCACACCTCCCAAAACATCACCAAGGAAGATTTGGTTGCATCCAATGCCGAACTCAAAGCTCAAGTTGAGTATTTGGCCAAACAAGTGGCTCAACTCACTAAAATGAAGTTGAAGATGACGGTGACACCCGAGGAAAGTGAAGACGAGCAAGAAGAAGAGTCCCATGCAGAAACTCCTTCCTCTTCCATACGAAAGGACAACCAAGAGAAGTCCTCCACTGGTTTCAAGGTTGAAATCCCAACCTTTGATGGCAGGGATGAGCCTGATGATTTTATCGAATGGTTAGAGACGGTTGAACGCGTCTTTGACTATGCTGAAGTTCCGGAAGACAAGAAGGTCAAACTTGTGGCCTTAAAATTCAGAGGCTACGCATCTACGTGGTGGACTAACACTACCACCAAGCGCAAAAGAAAAGACAAGGCTGCTGTTAAAACATGGACCAAGATGAGAGCTTTATTGAAGAAGAAGTTCATTCCCACTCATTATATAAGGGAAAACTTTGCTAGGCTTCAACACCTAAGGCAAGGAAATCAGTCCGTGGAAGAATACAACCGAGAGTTTGAAGAACTCTTGATGCGGTGTGATCTCCAAGAGAATGACTCGCAAACTTTTGTGAGATACCTCTTTGGCCTAAACACCCAAATCGCCAACACAGTGGAGCTGCAAACCTTTGAGAGCCTTGAAGAGTTAACCAAGTTAGCACTTAAGGTGGAAGCCCAACTCAAGAAGGGCAAATCTTCTTTGAGCCGTGGCAATTCTTCCTACCCTAGTACATCATATTCCACCCCCCTAGCTGCCCAAAACCCCACAGATCCCTCCCCTCAAAATCCTAAAACCATGCACCCTATTTTCTCACCCAGTGCTCCTCCTCTTCCAAAACAAAGTTCCTCAAGTAGCCGAGTCCCAAAGTGTTTTCGTTGCCAAGGCGTTGGTCACTATGCTAGTGACTCTCCCAACAAGAAAATGATGGCTATTGTTGATCGTGAAGAAGAAGAAATGAATCCATTTTGGGTTCAAGGAGAGCCAAACGAAGAAGAAGAAGTTTTTGGCCCCGATGAAGGTGAACTTTTGGTCATTCAAAAGACCACTAGTCATGCGGCTGCCCAGGATGACACCGCACACCGAGAGAGTATTTTTCATACTCGTTGCACCATTCAAAAAAAGGTGTGTTCAATGATCATTGATAGCGGGAGTAGTGCCAACATTGTTTCCAAAACAGCGGTGGAAAAGCTCAATTTAAAGGTGATGCCACATCCGAAGCCTTATGAGATTCAATGGTTGAATCTTAACGAAGGGATGCGTGTGAGTACTCGTAGCTTGGTTTCCTTTAGCATGGGTCAGTCCTTTCATGATGACGTATGGTGTGATGTGATACCCATGAGAGCTTGTCATATTCTCCTCGGGAGGCCCTAGTTATATGATCGGAGAGTTACCTATGATGGTTTCACCAACTCGTATTCATTTGTGATGGATACGAGACTCACTCTTGCTCCGATAATACCATCTATCCAACTATCCCAGGAACAATATTCATCCATACTTTCCATCTTTATCAAGTCCAAATATTCAAGGCCCAAAGAGTTACCCCATGACCCATTGTTGAAGCCAAACCAACCTTGGCGCCTCAGTGAAAGCCCCCGACGCGAACCCTTCTGTGAAAAGAGAAAGCATGGAACCGAGTTAATACTAACGGCCTTCAGTGCCAATGTTTTTATGTATCATTTGCAGGGATTCCATGGAAGAACGCGTGGGAGAAAGAACACTCATTTTGAGTGTGCAAAGTTGTGTTACCAAATTTCCCTCTCCCGAGGGCCAAAGCAAAGAGTGTTCGAAGATGAAGGTTCAAATGTGATTGAGTCTCACCCCGAAGATGAACTCGAACAAAACTCGAGTTTGAGGGCAAACTCTTTCGAAGAAGGGGAGGATGTTAGATATCCGGGAGTATCCACGAAGACTTTCCGTAGCCCACAAAAGGGAAGGCGGATCAAGAGAATAAGGCCAAAGTGTGGCGACGTCATTTGGATTAAATTCACTCCGTTGCCCTATCTCAAAACCCAAACCGACACCGTGGTTGTCCTACACCCCCCCTAGGACGAACCAACACCCCACCCAACCCTGAACATCCATAAACATTTCCTTTCTCAAAATAAAGTTTTCCTACTCTTATTTTAGCCCCTAGCCAAAAATAAGAATGTGTGAACCAAAACCTTTTGTTTGTTGTTATTTTCCTTCTTTTAAGCATTTCCAATAAACAAATAAAACCCTCTCTCCTTCCTTTATTTCCTGGCCAATTACACTTCACAATCCCAACATAAACACCCACAAAGAGCCAAAAAACCATGACCCACCACCAGCCATATTTCCTGCCCATGTTCCCACACAAATACCCAAAGCCATAAGTCCAAAATCATCCCTAATATTACACAGCCCTGTCCCCATTTGTTTGCCAAACACAACACCCCATTTTGCCCAAATAATAGCCACAACACCCCCAAGAAACAACCACTACAAACCCACAACTCAAAACCCCACAACCCCAACCCATTCCTGATTTTATTCCACTTAGGAGACAGGATTTAATGAGTGTTACCCCATGCTTTGGAGGAGGATGTTGCTAGGAAGTTTCCTTATGTCTACATTCAATGTATTGTGTATTTCTTCCCCCTTCCCCCTGCCTATATAAGCAAGCCCTATGGCCATTGTAAACATCATCTCTGAATATTGAAAAACCTTTTACTCTTTGAGTATTCATAAAATAGTGTGATGCTATTTTAGCCAAATTCCTAATTCTATATCTTAAGAGTGGTTATATTAAGCGTGATATTACACACCCTTATCTTAACTTGGGGTTTGAATCTAGAATTTAATTAAGATATGACACACTTAATCAAATATCACTTAACACCAACTTGGTTTTATCCATCATTATTTTCTATCCATTTCTTTTCCCACCATTTCTATCCTTAATCCCCTTTTCTTTCCTAAAATTAAAAATACCAAAAGAACTCCATCATCTCCACAAATCCCAGCCATTCCCACACAAGCACCACTATTACCCGCCCAGGTTTCCTAATCCTGATTGCCTTGATAGACGATTATCAATTAAGATAATCGACTATCTCACCCTTCAGGACTTTCTTGGCGTATGCTGCAAAGTCCAATAATCGATTATCAACATTTGATAGTCGACTGTCGTCCCCTGCTGAATTCCGTTGGAATAAACTGCGAGCTCCTATAATCGATTATCATATACTGATAATCGACTATCTGCTTACTCTGAAGTTTCTGGGTTTCAGCCACACAAATTCACAATCGATTATCACCTAGCCATAATCGATTATCTCCTGCTTCAGAACCCTGAACTCAAAGCTGAATCATTCCTTGATTCCTCCTAAAAATAACAACTCGTTTAGACCCCCGGTTTATATATAACAGGCACGAGCAGGGGCAGGGGCACGACTTGGTCCGGCGCCGTCTTGGTCTCCGGACTTCTTCTTGAAGGTGGTGTCGGCGATGACCCATAGCTTCGTCATCTTCGTGCTTGGCCCGGCAATGTGGATGTCGGCGGAGACGATGAAGTCCATGACGAGGAAGGCGTATGGCAAGCTCCGCTAGGTGGCGATGGAGGCGCAATCCGCCCAGTTGATGGAGGCGCCGTGCATGATGGCGTGAATCGCCTTCAAGTCCTCGTTGAAGAGCGAGGTGTGGCTGCTGTCCCGGGGGTGAAGAATCCGGGTGATGAGGTAGAGAAGGAGGCGCTTGTCCGGTGGGGCCGAGTGGATCGTCGGCGCGCCGCTGTGGCGGATCAAGTTGGTGATCCCAAGCTCGCGAATGACGACCGCCACGTTGTTGAGGATCCAATCGTCGCCACCGTACGTCGTGATGTCGTCACCGCGGATGGGCAGCCCTGCGATCCGTGCAAATGTCGGCAAGTCAATCTCTATGTCGTAGAGATTGATGCTGCTGTAGATGGTGTCCCCATCACGGCGCAGATTTGAATAGAAGGCATAGGCGGGATTGTAGGAGGTGCGGCTTGTGGAGACGAAGGGCCACAAACCCGACTCTTTGAGTTGATTGTCGAGGTCGTGGTACCCTTTGTCTTGGGGGTACAGCTCCGATACCACTTGTAGGATCGTTTTTCTAGAACTTCCCAGTGGGTCACCCATCCTGGGACTACTCCCGTTCCAGCACGCTTAACTACAGAGTTCTGAAGTTAAAGAGGTGTCAAATGCTTCCTAAAACCAATTAGTGATAGGAAGGTGGACACTTTGTATTTAACCATTTCTCTCTGTAGCCCCAAGCCGAGGTAGATTCCTATAGGGCACCCCCTATAGTGTGGAGCCCCACTACTGAGCAGTGGATGGACAGGAGGGGCTTCGCAAGATACACGACTCGTGTACCTCGTCAGGTTGGGCTGTCAGTACCCGATACCGTGACTAGCACAGTAGCGAATCCCTAAGGGTGATCGATGGTCCCCCATAAGACCAACAAAGATGCTTCATGATACGTGTTGTACCCCACCATGCATCACAAAAGGGTAAGAAAATTCAGGGGTTAATGCTTGAGTGTTATAATCCTTATTGGGTTGAATTCATTCCTTTTTCCCATCAAAAGACCCAACTCTTAGCCCTTGTTGCCCAAAATCCCCCCTAAACCAAATCATAACCCACAAACCCTCTCCCACAACATCCAAACTCATTTCCTCTGTCCAAAATAAAGTCTTTGTTATTCATTACTAAGCCTAGGCCGAAGGTGAACACCAAAAGACAAAACAAAACCTTAGCTTGCTATTTTTCTTCTGTTAAAGTCTTGATAATCGATTATCCAATATAGATAATCGACTATTGTTTCCCTCTGATTTCTCCTAACATAGTCCAGCAATGCTCCGTAATCGATTATCTACCATCTAATAATCGATTATTATTCATCTCTGAAAATATCCAGTTTGGAAGCCAGTCTTTGATAATCGATTGATTCTAAAATGTTAATCGACTATTGGACAACTCTGAAAGTTCTGGGTTAGAAGACATAACTTATTAATCGATTATCAGTAGGCGATAATCGATTATCACACTGCTCTGAACTCAGAAATCAGTAAAGTGGTCTTTGAATTAACAGTAAAGGTTTTGTCATTTAGGAACACACTTGGCTACATACCATTCCCACTATATATGGACGAAATTCCCATGTTATTACTCAACAAAATCAAAGGCTTTTACAATACAAAACAAAGCTTAATCCCTCATCCATGTGCCTGCCCAAAAAGTCTTTGATTGAATAGTAATATCTTGTCCTATTACTCACTAAAAGTCAAGCCATGTTGTTTCCTTTATTCTCCCACCTTAAGGACGAAAATCATACATTAA